CTGTTGCCTTCTCCTGCTGATATTGACCTAAGAAACAGAAGGCTGAGGTTCGTGTTCAAGATAGGATCCTGTGGCACAAAAACAGACACATAGACCAATGGAATAGAACAGAGAACTCAGAACTGGACCCACAAATGTATGGCCGACTAATCTTTGACAAAGCGGGAAAGAGTGTCCAATGGAAAAAAGACAGCCTCTTTAACAGATGGTGTTGGGAGAACTGGACAGCAACATGCAGAGAATGAAACTAGATCACGTCTCATACCAAACACAAAAATAAACTCAAAATGGATAAAGAACCTGAATGTGACACAGGAAAACGTCAAAACCCTAGAGGAGAAAGCAAGAAACAACCTCCTCTACCTCAGCTGCAGCAATTTCTTACCTGATACATCCCCAAAGGCAAGGGAATCAAGAGCAAAAATGAACTATTGGGACCTCATCAAGATAAAAAGCTTCTGCACGGCAAAAGAAACAATCAATAAAACTAATGGGCAACCGACAGAATGGGAAAGGATAGTTGCAAATGACATATCAGATTAAGGGCTAGTATCCAAAATCTATAAGGAACTCAGCAAACTCCACACCCGAAGAACAAATAATCCAGTGAAGACATGGGCAGAAGCCATGAACAGACACTTCTCCAATGAGGACATCCAGATGGCCAACAGACACATGAAACGATGCTCAGCATCCCTCCTCATCAGGGAAATACAAATCAAAACCACACTGAGATACCACCTCACGCCAGTCAGAGTGGCTAAAATGAACAAATCAGGAGGCTCTAGATGCTGACGAGGATGTGGAGAAATGGGCACCCTCCTACACTGTTGGTGGGAATGTAAACTGGTGCAGCCCCTCTGGAAAACAGTGTGGAGATTCCTCAAAAAATTAACAGTAGAACTCCCCTATGACCCAGCAATAGCACTGCTAGGAATTTGCCCAAGGGACACAGGAGTGCTGATGCATAGGGGCACGTGTACCCCAATGTTCATAGCAGCACTCTCAACAATAGCCAAATCATGGAAAGAGCCTAAGGGTCCATCAACTGAAAAACGGACCAAGAAGATGTGGTTTATCTATACAAGGGAACACTACATGGTAATGGAAAGAATGAAATCTGGTCATTTGTAGCAACATGGATGGATATCGAGGGTGTTAACGCTCAGTGAAATAAGTCAGGCAGAGAAGGACAGATACCATATGTTTGCCCTTGTAAGTGGAACAGGAGAAACTTAACAGAGAACCATGGGGGAGGAGAAGGGGGAAAATAGTGGGGGAGAGGGAGGGAGGCAAACCATGAGAGACTCTTGAATGCTGAGAACAAACTGAGGACTGATGGATGTGGGGGAAAGGGGAAGGGGGGTGATGGGCACAGAGGAGGGCACTTGTGGGGATGAGCACTGGGTGTTATATGGAAACCAACTTGACAATAAACTATTTAAGAAAAAAAAAAAGATAGGATCCTGAACTCACCTCTTCCCATGGGCACACTGAATCTACAGTTACCCTTAGAACAATTTGCTCTGAAAAACCCCCACAAAACTAGCAGAATTACCCCTTCACATCCAGCAAATGAAGGGGCAAAAAATCACATCAAAGCAGGCAGGAAAGGCTGAGAAACAACTTCACCATTAACCCCCCCCAAGCCCCCCACCTTCTTACCCCCTACCCGACCATCTCCCCACCCCCTCATCCTCTCAACCCCTTACCCCAAACTCACCCACCCCCTACCACTGCACCCTTAACTGCCCACCCCTCAGCAGCAACCTACAATTGGGAGGGGACTCAAAACTTAGAGCTTCTCCCCTGAGGAGGCTGTACCCATATTAGTCACCACAACGTTTGAGACATACTCCCAAAAGACAAGCCCCCAAAACAGCTGGCTTTGAAAAACAAGCAGGCTAAAGCCCAAAGGACCCACAGGGCTGTGGCAAACTGAGAAACAGCTCTGAAAGAACTCACACGTGGACTTACTGTGTAACTCACGGGCTTCTGGTCCGACGTATAAGCAGTCTTTGAAAAGTGCTCAAACTTTATGTGACAGAAGGTCATTTGCTAATTTTAAAGCATTGGACTTGAGGCAGGGGCCTGCTGAGATATTTTCTGGACAAAAACCGATGGGCACCATCTTTCTGCTCCCTCCTGGCAGACACCATCTTCGAGATCCCCTCTGCTGTGCTCTTCAGTGCGTTTCTCCCGGAGAGAAACTTCTATATGCAGCTGATGCCCTGGTTTTTATGGTGACCCAGTTTTTCCGGCTGTAGCCCAGGGGATGTCCCTTGATCACCTGGCTCTGAGGAGACTGGAGGCTTGCATTCCTGGGTCCCATGGGACAGTACTCATCAGAGATGTTCAGGCCACTGCATAGAGGACACACTGAAATACAGCCCCAGTCTTTCTGAGAAGGAGGCCTATTTTGCTGGTTGAGGGGCTCGGGCCTGGCCACTAACTGGGGCCTACACAGATGCGATCAAGGAATGGAGGCCTGTGGAAGCAACCTTTGTACTCAGCTTTGCTCCAGCTTTCCCATATATTAAATAACCACCACCCTCAGGGCGCAGCAACAGGTAACTAACTGACCCCAGAACTCAGTCTTCCTGTGAAAGGGACCTATTCTGCCTGTGGGTCTGGCTTCCAATAAGCCTGGATCTAGGTGTTGTCTGAGATGATCCCCTTTAGGACACTGACAGGTCCTGACATAACCTCAGCTACTGGGAGCTATGAAAAAGAGGCTGTTTGGACAATCATAGAAGTTTCAGAGACCACCAAGCACTAGGGCAGGGTTGAATGATAGGTTTCACTATACATAGTTACATTTCTTTCTTGTGATTATAACTTTTGAGATGTACTCTGTTAGCCTGGATGGCTCAGTCGGTTAAGCATCTTTTTTTTTTAAATAGATTTTTTCTTTTATTAATGTTTATTTTTGAGAGAGAGAGAGAGAGCACAAGAAGGGGAGGCGCAGAAAGTGGGGGACAGAGGATCCAAAGCCAGCTCTGTACTGACAACAGCAAGCCTGATGTGGGGCTTGAACTTGGAATCCATGAGATCATGACCTGAGCAGAAGTTCAGGCGCCCCAGGCATCTGACTCTTGATCTCAGCTCAGGTCTTGATCTCAGGGTTGTGAGTTCAAGTGCCACACTGGGCTTCATGCTTTGTTTGCATTGGGCTCCACACCCCGCATGGAGTCTACTTTAAAAAAAAAAAAAAGATGTACTGTTTTAGCAGCTTTCAAATATGCATCACAGCATGATTAACTAGAGTTGGCAAGCTGTACATTACATTCCCATGATTTATAACTGGAAGTCTGTACCTTTTGACCCTCTTAACCCATTACCCACTAACTTCTCATCTCCAGCAACCACCAATCTGTTCTCTTTATCTATGAGCTTCATTTCGGTTTTTAGATTCCACAGATAAGTGAGATCGTATAGTATTTGTCTTTTTTCCTCTAATTTCACCTAGCATATTGCGCTCAAGATCCATCCATGTTGTCACTAATGGCAATGTTCATTCTTTTTTATAGCTGAATAATATTCCACTCTGTGTATGGAATGGAATATCTCACATTTTCTTTATCCATTCATCCATCCAGGGACACTTAAATGATCTGTTTCCCTATCTTGGCTAGTATAAATGAACTAGTGAACACGGAGTTACAAATACCTTTTCAGGTTAGTGTTTTCATTTTCTCCTGATAAACAGAATTGCTGGATCATATGATAGCTCCTCATCTATGAAAAAGATTTTTCATCTTTTGAGGAACTTCCATACCGTTTTCCATTTTTGTCACTATGTGTGGTGATGGATGTTAACTGGACTTAATGTAATTATTTTGCAATACGTACAAATACCAAACCATTATGTTGTATACCTGAAAGTCATAAAATGTTGTCAATGCTTGCAAAAAAAGAAAAAAAAAGGAAAGAAATGGAAGGCTGATCCTGACATACAGACCCCAGGATCGGCAGCGGTCACAGAGCAAAGGCTTCCTTCATCAGGAAGACCTTCCCCTTCCTCAGTGGGGGCACTCCCCACTTCTGGTCACCTCCAGGCTCCAGTCTGTGGCCAAAGGGGAGTTCTGCCAGTAGAAACCTCACAGTGGCTTCTGGCGTGGGCACCATGGCCAGGGGGGGCATGTCACTGCCCTAATCTGGGGGGACACCTGGAAGAAATATCCATATTGAGGTGGAACACACCCCAAAATTACAAATCAGGACATGTACTAAAAAGCACCTTTGTAGCCCAAACCTGAAACAGTGGGATAGCATTGTGTTAAATCCCTCCATAAATTGCTCTCCAAAGGACCTTCTACCAACATACTTTTGTTCGGTTACTGCTTGATGTCGAGTCATCAGTTGGGAAATGCTTTTTAACTTAGATGGATTTTTGTCACTTGGGGATTGACTGGCTCATTACTTATATGTGACATATTGGAAAAAGCAGAGTGAAGACCTGGATTCTAGTTTGATTCTCACCTTTACTAGCTGCATGAACTTTGGAATCTCAGGCTCTTCACCTTTCAAAGGCAGAAATTCACTGCCTATCCTACATTGGAATTCCCAGAGCTGCACACGCGCCTCCCACGGCCTTGGCCACACTCCCTTAACACTCCACTTGGCCAGTCCCTTGAGTCATCGCAGTCTCTTGTCCTTCAGGAAACCTTGCCTTGACTTTATCCCCCATTCTGCACCCACAACCGGTGCAAACATCCCCTTTTCACACCATAGGGACAATGAACTGATCTTCTCCATTAGACTTTTGGCAGGAAAGACAGTTTATCTCTGCATTCTCAATGCCTAATTAAATAGTTATTGACTAAATTAATTACAGCTTTTCTACAAACTGTGCAGCATAACATAAAAATGTTACTCAAACTGTTAATCACCGAAGTACTGAAAATACAAATATATATTATTAGTACCTTAGTTTGCTTGCGTCTTAAAAAAAAAACCGAACTCTACAAATCTATCAAAAATTATAAAAGTTCTGGGGCACCTGGCTGGCTCAGTCGGTAGAGCACGAGACTCTCGATCCCGGGGTTGTGGGTTCAAGCCCCAAGTTGGGTAGAGACATTACATAAAAATAAAACCTTTAAAAAAATTTATAAAGTTTTTAGTAAACAACCTTCAGCTTAGTTCAGGCTCTTCCAAATATTTGCATAGTTTATTTATGCCAAATTTGCATACACAAATGTACTGAGCAAATAAAAATGACACGATGTCCCATAAAAGTTGGTAAGAGAAGTTTATTGTGTGGCCTATGCAGGCCTTCGCATTCTACTAACAGAAAAGCATTTGTCCACATCTTAGTCGACCTAACAAATTACGTATCTGTGGTTTCATCTACACGGCTGCAGTGTTACACTACTGGAGAAAACCTTCCTTTCACTTGTACTTTGGTGTGATTATACAGTAGATAGTTCTTCCTCCAGAAAATAAAAACAGTCTCAATCTAAACTTCAGATGGAACAAAGACATGAATACCAAGTTGCCTGCACCACTTGGTGAAAGACTGCAATAAAAACCGGAACAGGGTGCTGCTTAACATACGAAGATGATGAGACGTCTCTGCCAGTTTCAGTCAAACCTCTGTAGGAATGATTTAGCCTCTGGGTTTATTCTTCCTGCGTTTTTCACATATGACAGGTAGAACTGTGCTGCAGTGAGGAACAGTCATTCTTCACTTGCTCAAGGGACTCAGATACTGGACTTTAGCACAGGAAATATCTCTTGGGGCTTAGTAATATACAAATGGGTAGGAAAAAAAAAACTCCCTTAGGAAAAATTTCACAATTGTTTGACTAAACTTCTGAAGCATTTCTGTCACAGCTTTCATATATTAAAAAGTTTCCTCCAGCGATGAAGCTTATTTATGAAATAAAGCCTAGTCGCTATCATCTGACCCATGTTCTGAACCCCGATCTGAGGCCTCATTGTTGGATCCCTCTGCTTCTGATTCATTTCCAGAGCCTTGGCCAGAGCCCTCGTTATCAGATCCTCTCTCGGAATCGTGCTCTGACTCGGCACTTGGAGAAGCCGGGCGGGAGTCCATCTCAGAACCTCCGGAGCGGCTTCTCCCGGACTGCACGGACTCGTTGTCAGACTGTTCAGAACCCGAGGGCCTTCTCTTTCTGGCTGGCTGGTCGCTGTCTGAATCCTCATCTGACTCCTGTCTTCGGGGCCTCCGGGGACTGCCGGCTTCGCTGCCAGACTTGTTCTGGTTCTCATCAGAATCGCTGTCCGAAGAGGCACGTTTCTTCCGCCGTTCACCCTCGTCGGAGTCGCTGTTGCTGTTGCGGTGATGCCTGGCAAAGACAAGCACTGGTTACACACCAGGATTCGGGCCGATGGGACCTGGCAAGCAGAGAATGTCTTCTAAAAAATAAGGGCACTGAATGTTCTATTTCTTGATGTGGATGCCTTACACTGGTTCTCACTTTGTGATATTTGTGTACTGTTTTGTCAATTTGGTATATTTCACAATAAAAAAGGATTAAGAAGAAAAAAGAATAAGGCACTTTAGTTGTACCACAGCATTTAAACAGTAAAGGAGGCCTCTCACTGGGTTCTATCAGGCACCTTTCATCACAATGAAGCACTTCTCAATTTCATACATAAAATTATGAAAAGGAAGGGCTACATTTATCTTTATCAGCAAATTCATGGCAGCAGAGGTGAAACCTAAGATCTTGCTTGGCTGTAGGGACTCTGCAGAATGAACCCTCTCCCAAGACTGGATGAGTGGGACTTTTCCCTATCAGATACCTGAAGAGCCAAGGTACCATTTCTATCCAGGACTTGCTGCTGCACTCGTGTCTTCTGCCAGGGTAAGTCTGACTCAAAATACACAGCAGGGGCTAAAAGGCTTCTGTAGCTCACTTACTTTTGCCCTGAGTTCCCCTCTACTTGTCAGTTGACGGGTTAAAGGGAATGGGACTTGTACCTATGCTCGGGATGGTGGTGGCACCCAGGAAATCTTGGCTTCCTGGAGGCTCTGGAGGAAAGAACATTCCTGTAACTGCGGTGACAGCTGCTCACCCCCCAGAGCTTGAACAGGAGGACAAACTTCCCCTGTGGCATATTCCTCAGGTTTGGTTTCCATGGGAAGGAATGTGAAATGCCACAGGGTTCAGTCTATAAAGGGCGAAGGAGATGTAATACATTCCCGTTTGGAAATGAAACCATCTCCACATGACTGAAGAAAGGCTTTTGGTCCTTAAATCTGAAAGAAGAAACCTAGACATACAATATGTAACTCTGGTCACCTTGAGTGAGTAAGAATAGGACACTGCATTCATTCCCTACATATACTAAAGGCCAGTGGGCCTCCTGGGTCCAATTCCCACCACTCCACCTGGCCAAATAAGCAAAAACTTGGTGACGATCAGGACCAAGTTTAACTGATGCAAGTGGTTCAAACCAACTTGGCCTTGACTTCACAGTTTGACATCAGCTCAGCCTCCACATGGACCTTTCTGCCTACACATTTTAACAGTGCACATTCTAAAACCATACACTTCACTGCTCTGCTCATGCTGGCCTCTTACCACTGACCAGAGTAACACTGTGGCAAGGGCAAAGTTACCCCGACGTGTGTCAGCCAGTGTCCTCAGAGAAAAAAGGAACTGCAAGTCTTTACAGATGTTTCCCTAGAGATCGTTACCTATAAGACCAGCACCCCCACTGGCACCTTTAGTTCCCTTAACACGCTAACTGCTCACCTCTAACCAACCGGCACTCCGTTCTTCTTCCAAGATTCAATTCAAACAGCCTTTCTTTTACAAAAAAAAGTCTCTTACAACCCTCCCCCGAATTCCAGATTACGTATGGTCCCCGGAGAGAAACACCGTAAGTGACCATATCTATCCCACTATAAGGTGACTTTTGGTTTATGTTATACTTCATTGCTTCTAAAACATAAATTCTTTGAAGGCAGAGTCTATGACTTTTTCCTCTGTATCCCCAAGCACTCAGCACACTATCTCATGGAATTCTTAATGGACATTGAAATGACTGTTGAATGAATGAATGAAATGACAGACACCGGTAGAAATACAAGGGGTGGGACAGGATTAAGAGTCCTAGTCTGTGAATCCAAATGTGGGGACAGGGGAACCTCCAGCTTGAGGAACAAGTTTAGAACAAGTAAACTCAATACTGCTTTGCCAGGTGCGCCATAAGCTAAAGGAGAGTACGGGACAAGCAGCGTAGGAGAAGCCCCACACAGAGCAAGTCACCACTGCCCCCTGAGAGGAAAAGGTCAAAAAGCCCCATTTCCACATGGCCAGGATCAGGCTGCTCATAACAGTTTTAGCCAGTTTGGTAAGTGTAGGAAAGTGATACAATTCACTTAGAAGGACGCCATCCAGAAAATTTCCTAATATCCTAATATCCATGGAGAAATGATCATTTAGAAGGATGCCATCCAGGAAATGTCCTAATATCCTAATATCCATGGAGAAACGAGATTTCAAAATAGGTTTTCTTCTCTGAGGGACAAACATGTGACAGGACAAAATGACAGGGTTAAATTAAGATGTGTGCTAAGGTTTCTTCTACCTCTGAGATTCCAAGAAGCTGGAGGGAAGACATTTTGGCACAATGACCACTCTCACCTTTCATTAAAAGAACGCGCTAAGGGAGGGGTGCTTGGGTGGTTCAGTTGGTTAAGTGTCCGACTGACTCTTGGTTTTGGCTTAGGTCATGATCTCACAGTTCGGTTCAGAAGTTCAAGCCCTGCATCTGGCTCCATGCGGATAGTGCTGAACCTGTTTGAGCTTCTCTCTCCCTCCCCCTCCCCCACTCACATCCTCTCTCTCAAAATAAATAAATAAACCTTTAAAAAAAAAATGCACTACGGAAAAAATTCATACCCTTCATCAGCAATTTTAAGTTTATCTTCGTCTGAAGAATCATCACTTGATGATATTATGGCTTTGGATTTTATTTTTCCCTTCATTGATGGAGGCAGACGCTCTGGCTTGGGCTAAAGAAAGAAGATCAGACATAATAGATTAATCAATATTCCTAGGTTGCATTTTGTTAGGACATCGTGTTAAACTAAGTTTGTGGTATGATGATAATAAACAGCAACGAGTACACTTCAAAAAGAAGCATTTGTGCTTGAAGACACTGCAGGGAAAGAATACATTTTTGTGTAGAGCAATCTTTTATGCCTATAGCGGGAATGAAAACCACAGTATTATATACACTTACAGCCTTCTTCTTCTCCACTTTTGGTGGACGGCGCTTTTTCGGTTTTGGGCCATTTTCTGTTTCCTCATCATCAGATCCTTCTTCTCCCTTTGGAGGTCTTAAATAGTGAACATCAAGAGAAAGTCTGTCAAGATTCACTCATGCCTAGAAAATCTAAGACTACTTTGTCATCAAAATATTATTCATTCTGAATGCTATTCTCTACTGGGCTATCCTCAACCATAGTGCACACTCGTCAAGGGCAGAGGTCACAGTTCAAGGGTAGAGGCCATAATTTACAACTGCTGCACACAGCTCAGGAGTCTGCAAGAACCACGTATTTATGCGATGTCCACCAAATAATTTAGTCCCTGTTGAGTCCTCTTATTCATCTAAGATAAGCCTGAATCTTGTACTTAGTGGAGGGATAGAGGATGGAAGAAAAGACCCAGGCTCCAAATCTCACATCTTTCCCCTCTTCTTCTTTCCTTGCCAGCTACTCATTCCAGGCCTGCTGACGTCCTATCATAGCTTCCATTTAATAGGTTTGTGTCAGAATGAATTCGTTAGGTTCTTCCCCAAGTAGAGTTAGCCAACAGGGGGGAAGAACAGGTCTTGCTAAGATAGCCAACTGGAGGTTCTTAGACAGGGAAGCACCATAGGCAAGGAACGGGACAGCTCAGGGGCACCTCCAGTGAGAGACGGGCGGGCACCACTTATCTTAATGGCACAGAGAAGATTAAAAAGCCCTTCTCTCAGGGGCGCCTGGGTGGCTCAGTTGGTTGAGAGCCTGACTTCTGATTTTGGCTCAGATCATGATCCTGTGGTTTGTGAGTTTCAGCCCCAAGTTGGGATCTGCATAGACAGCACAG